ATCTTACCAACCGGAAGTCCTCTGTCCTGTTCCAAGGCTACAAGAGTGAAACTCAATTAATGCAACTAGGCATCCCACAAGGAGTACTAAGTCTTATCTTGTTTAATGTTCTAATTAATGTCTTACTAAAATCAATCCCAACTAGTCCGGCAAACATCACTATCAGCTATGCAGATGACATCCTTGTACATACTAAAACCCACCGCGAAATGCAAACAATCTTAAATTGTGTACATACAGATTGTGAGAGCCTTGGTCTTGTAATCAACGCTGCTAAAACTATGGTATTTAAACAGACAAGTTGGTAATCGCAAAAGTGGACCACGAAAACTAAAGATGATAACATACCAATAGACTATGTCTCTTCTTTCAAATACCTTGATGTCTCTGTCCCTTGTACCTCAACTGCAGTCAGTAAGTTACATCAACAATGTAGAGACAGACTCAAGGCTCTCAGAACTGTAGTGGGGTACAGCCCTAAGTGCGGTGTTAATATTAGAATAGCAAAAATGATGTACTTAGCATATATAAGGTCTCTGATAGACTATCATGCACCAGCTTTGGTCCTGCAAAATGGCAAAAGTATTGATAGACTGGAAATAATGCAAAATGTAGCCATCAGAATTATACTTGACATTCTGATGTCATATAAACGGACAGCCTGAGGGACCGGGCCCGCGGTCCATTTTGAGGCAGGGACCGGGCCGTCAGTTCTCTTTTCAAGAACGAGTTCGCAACTTTGCACATGGGAATATTGAAGCATGTACACTGCAGCAGCCATACGACGGTCACATGTGTATTTACTACAAAATAATTGAGGCGTAACCTGGCGTATGGGGGAGCGAGACAGACAGGTGAAGGCGCTGAGTATAATATTCCCTTCGCAACACTACTCTGTATCACAGTAAATATCTGTGTCAGAGATCAACCAGTTTAGATAATCGCCTCCTGTTTGCATAATACCTTCTGTGACGGTCGTCAATAGTCACGAATTTGTACGTACTTAGCTTTTAGATAGTATACTGACAGGTAAGGAATTTTTGTTTAAATAAATGAAGCTACAAAACAAACTTCAATATTCCTAGGCCAAGTTTAGCACACATATGTACTATGTTTGGAATCAGATATCGTATATTAGGTCTAGGAAGGTTAGGTTAGGGTAGTTTGTCAAAACAACACAAGTAAAACAGTTTTCGGGTTTGTCCAACTCAACAGTTCAATTTTCTACTTTCTAATATCGTTTTACGCCAGTATGAGGACTATGGTTCCTCGTCGTTACTATAACTACTACCAAAACAGGAGGATGGGCTTGAAAGAGGCCCTCTGGCAAAAATATATCCAGAGACATTGCAGTAGCCATACACAGACTCTGCCTTGGATACAAGTGCTGCTGGGAGGTAATAAACCCAATAGTTAAAGAGTGTCATATCTGTGGAACAGAAGCAGAGGCGCCACTATTGCACTACTTACTGGAATGTGAAGCAACTGAAGCCCTGCGCATCAAACTCAACATTAATCCAACGACAGCAGCTGCGTTACAATGCAAAATCCACCGCGACTACAATGATTAGAAAAGCCGTTGAGGAATGGGACTCACTAGTGAACATTCTGCATCTACATCTGCCACCAAGATAATGTTATTAAAACAAGACTAAAACCAGTGCGCTAAAACAGAAGCTGAATAGAAACGGGAGAAAAGGAGGAAACCCCACCTCCATTTAAAACTTTGACCCAAATATCGCAGTAACATCGCTAATAACCGAACTCAATTACGGGCTCACCATAGCCCGTGCTACATGTAAATTTCGTTCTTAGTAGCTCAATCTAAAACAACAACAACAACAACAGGAGGATGGGCAACAGAGATGGTAACCTTGTGGAGGAGATAGTGGGGTGGGGTACGGTGGGGGTGGGTGATGTAAATAGGTTTTGGTGGGGAAGGGAGAGATAATGTGGTAGATGAGAGGGATGATGAGAACATGCTCAACGGGGCGGCACTAAATATACTCTCACACTCTCTCTCTCTCTCTCTCTTTAAACAAAATGACTTGGATAGTCTCCGAGCTTCACAGCTTCTCTTTTGTTTACATTTCTTTGCCAAAGCTGAGCGGCTCCCGGTGATTACTTGCTATTGTTTGTGTATCTTTGCCAGTATTGTTTGTGGTGAGGCGCGGAAGGTTCACCCTCGGCTGCCTCTGTCTGACCTTTTCTAATCCTCTCACCAGGTCCTCCAGCACGGCCTATTTGTGTTCAACCTTTACCATAATCATCGCATTTGTTAACCTTAGTATTGAGGCTTTATTTATCGCATATCATGTGCACTCCTGACCAGTTACAGCCCCGCTCCTGTGCCAAGTAAGGCCGCTACGGGCTCACCATAGCCCGTGCTACTTGGACCTTTGTGTTCCCAGTAGCTGAATCTTAAACAATAATATCAACAACCACTCCTGACCTTTCTATTGTGACTTTGCCTGATTGATTGATGGACTAAGATTAAGCCACCCAAGAGGTGGCACGGGCATGAATAGCGCGTAAAGACCGTGGCTCGTTGACCGTATTTTTGTATGTCCTTATTTCCCTTGACCTTTATTACCCCCTTTCCTCATGTTTATGAATTTGTCACTGTTGTTGTTGTTATAGATTCAGTTACTCGGAACAAGTTCCAAGTAGCACGGGCTATGGTGAGCCCGTAACTTACCTGGCACAGGAGCGGTGCTGTGAATTTGTCAGTGTTTGCTCTCGTTCTTGACCTTGTGTGACTCACTGCTCCTGACCTAGCTCTGGTGACCTTAATTATCCCCGACGCAACCTGACGTGGAATTAACAAGGGCTTTACTATTTTTGGTGGGTGGTTGCCGGGCTCGCTCTCCTGACACCAGATTCCCCAGTGGTTGAGGAATATGTATGTCGTGACCTGTTACATGCTTGTCTGTGTGTGGGCTTTGACACGTGTGTGTGTGCACGCACACACGCGCTTGCACTGACACTCATGCGCACATGCTAATACACATACACACACACACACACACACACACACACACACACACACACACACACACACACACACACACACACACACACACACACACACACACACACACACACTCACACAGTGCTTAATTCTGTCTACTCACACTGAATTGGCACCGGGTTCCATTCCCGTGCAAGGCGAGACGTTTTGGGCACGTTTTTTATCTGATGCCTTTGTTATCCAGAACCCCCCCCTTCCCCTAACCAGTTACTGACCATTTCTCAGGACACGACTCACAACGGCTGACTAACTCCCAGATACCTAGGTGCGAAAAGGCGAATAAAGGCATCAGGTGTAAGGAAACGTGCCCAGACGTGCACGGGAATCGAACTTGGATGCAGTCAGTTGTCAGCCGCCTGTGCTGAGATGGCGGAGCTGAGGAGCTGGTGCTTGACCCAGCAAGTGAGTGACCCTTGCCACTTCGTAAAAAATCCGACCTACTATACCTAACCAGGAACGTACGAACCCTAACAACCCACCTGATCTACCGAGTCCGATGCATAGAAAACGTAGAAAATTGTGAATCGTTAGTTTTTGTACTAGGATGCATTTGTAACGATCGGTTGCTACAACATACAATAGGTGACCTCTTAGTTGAGAGGGCGGGCTGTAGCCTGGAAGACCTTCTTCCGGTTAAGAGTGGTCAGTAAGAGGAATATGGTAGACAAAGAAGCTGAAGGTAACTCAATACTCAATTTTAAATGAAAATTTGGTAACAGAAATTATAAATAGATCATCGCATTTTAAACTATTCATGGTTGAAAAGCGGGGCTCAAGCGCTGAGGCTCGACACTAGTAGCGCATCTAGGTGAGAACTAACACAGGTGCGCACCTTACCAACTGTCCAAAACACACAGCGATGGTGTATCATTGCGGCTCTGACCTTTCTTCATGAGACGAGACATCCCAAATATGCCTGCTCAACCACTTGGGCTGGACGGTAGCGCGACGGTCTCGCTTCATGCAGACCGGCGTTCAATCAAGTTCAAGTACGTTTATTGAGAATAAAATACATCTCAAGGGGACAGAGTAGCTTAGGCTGTTTCTATCCTCCTGCGTTCAATCCCCGACCGTCCAATGTTTGGGCACCATTCCTTCCCCCCGTCCCACCAGAAAACTTTATCCTGACCCCTTGCAAGTGCTATATAGTTGTAATGGCTTAATGGCGGTCGTGCTTAATTTGGAGGTGCTTATTCAAGAGAGAACTGGATAAGCACCTCCAAAGGATACCTGATCAACCAGGCTGTGACTCATACGTCAGGCTGCGAGCAGCCGCGTCCAACAGCCTGGTTGATCAGTCCAGCAACCAGGAGGGCTGGTCGACGACCGGGCCGCGGGGACGCTAAGCCCCGGAAGCACCTCAAGGTAATGGCGCTTTCCCCCTGATAATTCCCTGCCAAACATGCCAGCATCAGTGTATACATCTGTGTTACGTGATCTGAGTGGAGAGGGGAGGGGGAATCCTTCGTTCATGGCTAATGTGTATTTTCTGGTAGGCTAATGCGGCGTTGTCCTGGCTTTAAATAACTCTCTACGGGGCTGGCGGGCCTTAAGTCCAACATCAACATCATCAGTTGGCCACTTTTTTCACCTAATGTCTCTGTTCACCTAGCAGTAAATATGTACCCAGGAGTTAGCTGTTGTGGGGTTTCATCCTGTCGTTGTTGGTGTCGCCTGTCTCCGACAAAATAAATTATTATTATATTAAAGTAATTATATACATTAATTAATGATTGGGGTACCACCTCTGGTGCAATTGTAGGGACCCACAGCCTCGAAGAAGAAAATAAAGAGTATTCAGAGAAGACCTTGTGGGTTCTCGCTGAACACATTGATAGCAGTGTAATGTATTATTGATATGACAGATAATTCAGATGGCTTCAGAGAGCGACCAAACTGACAACACTCACATGTTTATTATTATTTATTTTTGGACGTTAGGATTGATCTGGTGGTTGTGTTTCCGCAGTGACGGATGATGGGGAGAAGATAGAGGCGACGCCTGTGGTGGTGATGGCCGGCGACTCCTCCACCCCGCGCCTCCTGGGCTTCCTGCGCCTCCCGCCAGAGGGCAGCGGCGGTCACCTGGACGGAGGCCCCGATGGTGCCTGGAGCAGGAACACTCTCTGGCTGGAGGGCAGCGGTGCTGGCAGGTTCAAGAGAGAGTATAGCCTCGAGGATTTTCTTGTATGGATGCCCTCAGGTACGGACGGTCAGCTGGCTCTTGTTGCCCTCGTTTTTGTTCAACGTCAGTTTTTCAAGACTGGCAGAGTTGCAAATATTATGCAACTATATATGTTCTGTATTTTGACGAAGTCTGGAGTTTATATGTTATGTATTTGGGGGGAAGAAATGGAGGTATTTTGGTGGTTGCCTTTGGACGCTGGCTTGACGTCCATGTGTCTGTTACACGTGAGGTGTTTTGCTGCTTAGGAACAATACAGTTACTAGTTAAGAAATAATATAGTCGGGAAGATTAGTTAGCAGTAACTAAGTAAATAAATGATACCATAATTAGTTTGCTTGATATAATCTACACAACCCCTTCATAAAATTTAGTTCCCAGTTTGCCTCTTCACCGACTCATGATAGGCCTTTGAGGCTATAAATCATAACTACCGTCTACTTAAACTTCATGGTTATGGAACCCGTGGCCTTGCTCTCAACTATACTCTGTCATATCTTAATAACACACAACAATATGTTGTCATCAATAACATTACCTCCTCCACTCTACCATTAGCCATTGGAGTGCCACAGGGCAGCATCTTAGGACCTCTCCTATTTCTTATATACATCAATGCCTTGCCAAATGTCTACAGTGTTCTTAAACCTATACTATTTTCTGACGATACTACCTACATCTACTCAGACCCCAACTCACACACTAAATAATGTTGCAAATAACGAATTAAAAAAAGTCCACTCATGAATGTCAACAACACTCTCACTAAGCATAGAAAACACCTACTACATTGTATCTGCAAACAAATCATCAAACCAAATTTACATTCAGCTGGACAATATCAACATTAATACTTAAATTGAAGGAAAGTGCCTTGGCCATAGACAAGAGTTTTAACTTCAGTACTCACATAAAACACAGCCAATAAAGTCTCTAAAACTGTAGTATACTCTCAAAAATCAGATATGATTTTGCCCACTCCCTGGAAGATTCTCAGGGAGACAGACCTGGGGGCAGAGAATAGCAGACATGACACTAATAAAACAGTGTTGCAGGTGACGGGCCGACGGAGGAGTGGCAGCACCGGCCACGGGACACGTCATGGATGAAGGAGGGCATCATCACCACCACTGTCTTCCTCACCACCACCGTCTACACCACCGTCCTCCGTCCTCCCCTCATCACCCCCTCCACCGTCACCTCCATCCACTCGTCTACAAAGTCTCCAGTAGACCTCATCTCGAGCAGCAACAGCCCCAACACAGCACCAGACAAAGGCGGAGGGAAGGATCTGGGCGAGGGGTCCGAAGCAGGCCCCACCACAGTGTCTTATAACGCCAGCTGTAACAACCACACCAACACCATGGAGGGTTCTCAGAGTGATTACCCTCATTCAGGAGGCAGCGGGAACCAGTTGCCCGAGACATCGAAGGAGAAGAACAAGAACACCCAACACAAGGGGGAAAAGATAAATTATATAACAGTGACGCGAACGATCATGACAGTGCCACCAAACGTAGACACGACTCGTCCGCCTTCACTCACCACCACCACTACTACTCTTCTCAAGGAACCTCTTTATGACGAGACTGATCTTGTCCGTTCCTCCATCGAATATCCAGGGCCGTCAGCGACTTTTACAGCATCATCTGCCACACCAATCCTGCCCTCGACGTACCCACCATGCTTGACAGTCACCATCAACCCAGTGACAGACACCACGGCAATCTACACCCAACCGTCCTCCTCCAGTGACTTATACGGTACTGTTGCTCCTACTGCGACCTTCAGTGAAGGCACTGGAGAATTTTCCCGCGAGGGAGTGCAGAGCACTCCTGAGCTGCCAGAGCTCGCGGTAACTACAGGTATCCACAGCCTGTCGAGCAGCATCCAGTATTCAACACCAGGGACATCGATGTCACCAAGTGTGGATGGCTCGGGTACTGAGGCTGAAGGTAGCGGAGCTGCAAGTGTGACTGTTGGAGCTACTCTTGTTGTTACTACTGAGATAGAGACAACAGAGAACAGTGCTGGAGTGTCTAAGAGTAATGAAGGTATTGAAACTAGTACTGAAACAAAAACAGAGGCTGGTTTTGCAATTTCTGTCACCGAACAAGGAGTTGAAAACTTTGGTGTCCCTTTTGGGATAACAGAAACCAACCATGATGCTAGTGGGAATGATACAACAACAATAGAAATTGATTTAAATGTTCCTATGACTGACAGCACGAACACTGAAACAGAAGCACCTTCAGGTGTGGAGGAAACTCAAGGTGCCCCGGGCGAAGATCATACCCGAGATCCTAGCAAAGACGTCGCCACAACCACCCCTACCACATTGCTGTCTTCAACATATTCCCACCAACTTCCAGCCAATACCTTCCGTCCGCTCTTTGAGAGAAACTCAACCATCTTCCACGAAATAGAGCTGTTTGACTTAACGACACCTCCATCTGATCGCAACGACTCCAATTTCTGGGATCTAAACACAGACGGGGAAGGAACCGTGAACAGTACATCTGATATGGATTATCCTGGTTTTGTTATCAACGAAAGTGATATATTTGTTAATGTATCTGATGGTATACATGGAACCAAACTGCCTGAGCAGACTGCTAGCAGCAATGAAACCGTGAATGGTACCTTCGGATGGGACTCTCCCGAAGGAGTCACTGAAGAAGTTGGCACATTTTCTAATGTGTCAAATGGTAGAAATATTACACAGCTGCCAGGTCAGGATAAAGATGATGACCGTGGTTCAATCACAAAAGTTTCCTCTTTGGAACCTACCATTCCTGATCATGTGTTCAGTGCATCCGAGGGTGTGACCTCCACAATGGGGGTTCCGAACCTCTCTATCACACTGGGGAATGACCCTAAGCTTTTGGTCACGGCGGGGAGTGATATTGAGTTCTCAGTCACAGCAGATGGTGATCCAGAGCTTTCGAACACAACAGAGAGTGACTCAGATGTCTTGAGCACAACAGAAAGTGACCTGAACTTCGTAGCCATAGCAGGTAGTGTGGAGGTTGTGGACCAGTCACCCCAGGGACCAGAGGATGAAACCATAGCTACAACTGACTCGGGGGAAAATTCAACAATTTGGGTAGACCCTTTGATAACTACTATAACTGACTCACCGTATGTGACAACTATATGGGGTGAACAGACAGATAACACAGCCACCTCTGCTAATGGCTTAGATAAAGAAATATTTACAGTTCCATTCGAGGTTGATGACCCGTATGTGAGTGCCACTTTGACTCCACCCATAGCAGGAAAAGGAGTTGGTGTGGATGGAACTGCACATGATGACTCTACTTTAATCATTTTACCGGAAGAAGGACCTCAGGTAAATGAGAGTGAATCTGAAGGTTCAGGAGCTGAAGATAGTCCAGGAGAACGACCTGGCAGCCCAACATCTGGTGGGAAAGATTCTGAGGATGCTGCACACTTCCACCCATCCAGCAGACCCACAAGTTCGTCCCATGATGAGGAGAGTGAGAGTACACTTCCAGTCTCCCCGTCCAAAACTGTGACACCATTCTTCCAATCAGGGGTCGAGACATCAACATCAGAGAGGCCCCTTCTAGTAAAACCATCGCAGGCAGTGCCACCCACTTCAGTAGTCAGCAGCAATGTAATGCCGGATATGTTGGGCCCATCGTTTTCACAGCCCAGTGATGCTCCTACCACAACAAGCACTGTTGACGATGGACCAGCAACACTTAATCCCCAATTAACACTACCTTCAGACTCTGCAACTGATGAAAGTATGCTGGGTAGTGATGGAGTGGTGATATCAACGTTCACTGGAACAACAGAAACTGCGCTTGAATCTGCATCCTCACCCTCACAGGAAGGTCCCACTGAGGATCCTGAGACTACTGCAACATACATGATATCACTTACAGACAAAACATATGGTTCACATGAGCCATCTTCAACACTGGGTGAAAGGATCACATCAACGTGGCCATCTTCTTCAGAAAGCGAGTTTCCGGTGTTGACACACACAGGCATCCACGTGGCCTCCACGACGACGATGCCAGTCTCCATTACCATCTCTACGGCCTCTCAGGAGATAGATATTACTTCTACTCTGAGTACAACAACACTGCCCGTAATCCATACAACAGTAGAGTCCGTCAGCATGTCTATTACTACAGACAAAAGTCCTCTCACCTCGCCCTCGGGGACGATGCAAGGGACTCCATGGGCAACAGAGCCTACCTTAGGACCGCAGCCGAGTGCACCCAGTCCCAGCAACAATGCCACTGTGCCATTAGATCAACGGTATTGGGTGAGGACGGTGCTGGAGGGGCCATTCACTGAGGATACATCTCACCTTTACTGGATCTCAATGGAGAACAAGCTAACCGACGTCTACAAGATAGCCTATGAGCGGGATGTAGCCAGGCAGCTCGGTGCTGGCGAAGTCAGCATGGTAGCACTGGCCTCCACTGAGCCACCGGGCACTACGACCACAGACCCATTTGAGAATTACACCACAATCATCGCCAGAGTGAAGAGAGAGGTGGCAAGCATGAATGCTGAACCCACAATGCCCACGATCAGATTCCTTGCAAAGCAGGACAGACATAACACACACCAGGACGTACATATTGCCTCCAGAAAATTCAAGATAGCCTCAGGACTCACTGGGATGAGAATATTTCCCCATATTCTTACTGCAATGACAAGAAATGAGAAGGTACCGATAAAGGAAAATCCAAACATATTCAACACAATTAGACCATCTTATAATGTCCTTGTTAACAGCCGAAGAAAACGCGAACTTATACGAGAGATGAAACAAGACCCAGTCAGGCAGTGGCGGCCTCCACCCTCACTGTACCCGTCAGCCAAAGTGCGCAAGAGAAGTGCCACCGGTGGCAGTGTGAAGGTTCGCCTACACAACATCACCTACGACAACACCACCGACCTGACGGAGCTGGTGTACACGGTGTTTGACGGCGAGGAGCCCATCCTGGCTAAAGACGCCGTCACCAACATGTCTAAGGTGGATGACATGGAGATGGCTGTCATCCTTGACCAGGTGGTTAAGATCAAAGCCGAAGGTTAGTACGAGTCTTATAGTGCTCTCCGTCCTGACTCAAGATGCTTCTGTTAGGATTTTTCCTTCAAGCTATCTGCATTCCTATCCTTAATAGTTTTTATATGTTCTTTTTACTTCAAGCAATGTGGATCCGCCTTGTAATTACAATAAACAGTTTCTGCATTTCACCATAATGAGAGTGAAAGAGAGTTTGTCCTGTAAGTGCTCAACAACCTGTCCAATATCGTGCATTTTCCACACCATTTTGGACGCTACACTTATCATGTATCACAAAGAAAGTATAAATCATCAATATCCCGCCAAACATACACCGAAACTACGACGTTGGTACAACGTTCGAACAAGCTTTAACACCTCCTAACCAGTTATAACAACCAATATAGCAAGTTGTAACAATGTTCTAATACGTCATAAACACGTTAAGCCAAGATGTAACAACTTTATTACAAGTTGTAACATGCGGAAAATAGAGACAGTTTCGGTTTGTGTTTCTAGGGATATTACTAAACTAATCATATGTATAGTTTACATGATATTATATAGGAAAAATATCATTGAAATTGAAATTTTCAACAAGCTATTCAATCATAAATTTATCTGTAGATTATAACCATCTGTCTGTCTCCCATTAACCTTTGCCTGGTGTGACCTGTGGTACTCCAGAGTACCTGCAGAGCCCGCCGGCCAGGCAGGACGGGGTGCTGGTGTACGGGATCATCGGGGCCGTGGTGGGGGCCATGATGCTCCTCGTCTTCCTCTCCTGGCTCACAGTCTTCCTCTACAAGCGGAACCACAAGAGAGATGGACTCCAACCTGACTCCGAGGTCGGTGGCTCAGACCAACCCGTCCTCTTAAAAATATCGTCACTTTTGGCTCGTATGCGCGCTATGGCCAAATTTGGACGTAATTTGAAATGAAATCGACTCACAAAAGTGACGTACTGTTCCGTTTTCTGTTTGAGTCGTCCGGCCGACTCTGTAAGGTTAGAATAGATGACTTTCAATTCACGTTTTTCATAACGTTTTGAAACTTTATGAGAATTTCCTGCCCACCTAACCTATCAGAGGACCCTTAACTTACTGTTGTTGAAAAAAAAAATTCCAAATTTATTTTCATTTTTTTTCATTTTCAAATTACGTCCAAATTCGGCCATACGGGCAAACTGCTAAAATCGACGTTATTTTTAAGAGAACAGGTTGGGTTATGCTGGGGATGGAAATGGGTATTTACAGCTGTTAAATATATGCCAACTGGGCCAGGATTGATCAAGCATTAGCAGTCACATACGAAACCTGTATATCTTTCCTCGATCTTTGCCCGAGTTGACCACCGAGCGCTCTCGGATCTTGGTTCAAGATCTGAGATGTCTCAATGTGAGCCAATTAAAATTATAATTTTTATCAGGAAATAATGTATTTAATGAGAGCATTATCTTGCGAAATTTTAAAAAATCTGAAAGAGAATGAATACAAGTTCTTCTTTCTGAAGGTTGCATAAAACCAGGAGTGGACGACTTTTACCAAGACACCTGTATGAGGCTCCTAACTCCCACACCCTCATACAGGCCAGGTACTCCCACACCCTCATACAGGCCAGGTACTCCCACACCCTCATACAGGCCAGGTACTCCCACACCCTCATACAGGCCAGGTACTCCCACACCCTCATACAACCACGCAAGGCCAGGCACTACCACACCCTCATACAACCACACAAGGCCAGGCACTACCACACTACCACATACAACCACACAGCACCACCAACAGTGCCACAAAGTCACTAACCCATGTGGTGCCCAACAGGCAGCGTCACCCAGGAGCCAGCTGAGTGCCAACGCCTACTCTGGACACATCAACATGGCCTTCTCCACGCCCAGGGAGGAAAAGGTCAGTTCATTTACCTGAATTCACCTGAGGATTACTAACGTCAGCTCTCCCTTGATCACTCTCTGAGGTATACCTCCAAGGGTCTTCTGATTTAAAGAGAGACTCTCAGTCATCCTATTTTGATTTGTGTATTTATGTATTTATTTAAATACAAAAAGGTACTGTACCATGGGTTATGAAACCCATGGTACATTTATTTCTCTAAATAATAGGTACAGCAAACCCTGATTAACCTGAGAACCTTTTACCTGAGCCACTAACATATATAGCATTTCAGGCAGATTTTAAAACACTATATTTGGCTCTCTTTCTAGAATGTATATCTGTATATAATACAGAAATTATAATGTCTATTTATAAAATAAATGTCCATTGGATATATTTGGTTGTATACATACATGGTAGAGTATTGCAGAACTTGTTATAAGGCCAATTACCATACAAAGTGTTTTGGGAAAATCTTAAATGAAACTAGTGGGAAGGTCTTCAAATGTGTGAGGTCCTGTGTACTGTATAGTATCCTTGTTAGGAGTCTTTTATTAGATCAAGATTTTCAAGTTGTCATGAATTTAACTTATTGTTATTGCTTTTGCTTTCAGTATAACAATAATTAGTATTTTTAGGTAACGTTCTTTCTGGAAGGTTGAATTAAACAGGAGGCTGTTATCTTTAGTAACAATCATTATTGTTATTTTGTCCTTAACTTTTTCATGTGTGTGTGTTGGTGTGACTGCACCGTGACCCGCTGTGACCCGCTGTGACCCGCCGTGACCCGCTGTGACCTCACACCAGCTGGAAGGAGAGCCACTGCCCTCCACTTCCCATGGCCTCGGCAATGGCCTGGGCCACGCCTCTCCTACCGGGTCACAAGACGATCTAATTAGCAGATCCAAACAAGGTCAGTTGTCGCTGTTGCATTTTTATACTGAAAGATATGAGGACACTATCTTGGTACATGCTTTGTAAATGGACATTTTTCCTAACATAAATTCAATTATTTGCGTCTTTCTTTTATATGGAAGTATTCAGTATCTTGATACTTGACATATGCATTTGTATGGTTCCTGAAGCTATTCTTGTAGCTATTCTTAGCTATTCTTATCTGCCTTGCAACATACCAGCAGCATCCTGCACATCTTGCTTGCAACCACCTATATTCTTGACATGTATGGATCATGTGTAAATATCTCTCATTCACTCATTTTCTCCAAATTTGATATAAATTTATCAATACTGAGAATACCTGAATTTACCTGAGGGCTATTATCTCTCTAGTGGCCTCGACAAGGACAGCAAGACAGCGGCCTGTCAAAGTTCCTCCCGTCCTGATTTTATGAGTTGAATTTGTAATTGCTGTAGTATTTTGGTATTTGCTACTTCGGCGGGTAGGCGGTTCCGTGGGTTTATAACCCTGTGGGTGAAAAAACACCTCCTGTCTTCAGTCCTCCAGTGTGGCTTGTTGAGCTTGAAACCGTTTCTCCTTCTTTGTGCTACATCTGACATTTTAAAGAAGTTGTCTGGATCAATATCCTCCAAATTGTTCTGTGCAGTATTTAAAAGTCTCAGTGAGATCAGCCCTGTCATGTCTGGTTTACAATGTTGTTAGTCCTGTGCCCCCTCAACTGTTCCTGGTGTGAGAGTGGACTTAGTTCTGGGATGATTTTCTCGTGCGGTGTCGAACTTTCCCCAGAGCTGCAAGGTCTTTCTCAAGATGAGGTCGCCTTGCTTGGATACAATAATCCAAGTGGCTAACTTCCTTCTTTTCCTTGAAGTCGAAGGTTTGTTTGACTATTCCCAGGGGTTTGGTTGACTTTTTTTGTTTTTGCTGTACTGTAGCTCCCACTTGTTGTGTACCTTTTAATGATTGGTGAATTCAGATTCCAATGTCGTTTTCTTCATCAATCTGCTGCATGGCAATGTTCTTGATTTCGTAATTGTTATGAACTTTGTCCCACATGCAAGATCTTGCATTTTCGATATTAAAAACCATTTGCCAGTCTTCTGACTATTTGAGGAGTTCATATAGAATACTAAATGAGATTTATTTCTGAACTAATTATCATGTCAGGTAATAATACTCTTTGTCATTTCTTATCGTAAAGTAAACTTTATAGTGTAGAGTCTTGTTAGAAGGTATAGACCAGTTGAGTGTATGTGGTTCATGTTCCTGTGAGCCATAAGCTGGACCATAGGCGTCTCTGTGATCCTTTAGTTCTTCTCAAGGGTTTGAAGCAGACAGGTTCCTTTTATAGTGTTAGAAAACCACTGTTGTTCCTGTTTCTTCAGTGTTGTTCTTGAACTGTTTCATGGGGCCTCACTGCTGTCACCGTTCAAGCTTAACTGTTTCAATAGTTTTACTGCTATTGCCTGTTCATTCTAAACTGTTTCAAACGCTTAACTGATTTTGCCTGTTCATGCTAAATTGTTTCAAAAGCTTCACTGCTTTTGCCTGTTCATGCTAAACTGTTTCAAAATCCCTGTAGCAGTAAAACCAAAAACATCTATACAGGTCCCTCACTAGGGCCATCCAAAGCCCGCGCCCGTCGTCGCCTTCAGTACAGCCAGCAAGAGGAGGGGGAGGGAGACGACGAGGCTGAGGAAGGTGGGGACTCACGCCGGACCTTCCCCAAGGAGGACTACGACACCACGGAGGAGGAGGAGGAGGAGGAAGCGGTAAGACATGCTTCTCTGTTCCAACTTGTGTGTGTTCACTATCCTGGGAGAAGATTCACTATTTTTAATTGGAGTTACTAATAAATGGGCTGATTTAGGCTTCATGGCCTTATTTCTACACTCATGGTGTAGAGTAATTTATGTTTCAGTTAATGAAAGAATAATAGTGAGAATATAAAAGCATTTGGATATAAATTATTTTACTGACAATCATAACAAATAAACATTTAGCACTTAACATTATTAATCTAATTGATCTGCATTGCTCTTGATTTTGGGTTCCCGTTGTCGGGGACTTGGGATCTGTTAGGTTTGGCGAAGCCAACGGCTGGTCATTTCCTGGGATGCACTCCACTAGTTATTGTTACGTTTCCTGATTCCTAGTAGTAGTAGTAGGCATCCATCAGTCTCAGGAAACTAAGGAGTTGCGCTCTGGTTGTCGGTCTGGAGTGGCCTCACCAGGGTACAAAGCCAGGGTAGGTTGATTTGGGGAGAAGCTCTTACCCAGGCAGCAGGTCCCCTCCTCTCCACGGCGCTGAAAGTTTCCAATGGAAAGGCATACTCCAATACGATTGGTTCCAGCGCCGTCGCAGGAACTGTGAGTTCCGGGGTTGACCTCGAAGGTGGTGAAGAAGGGCACAGGGACCTCCAACCCCGGAGACCACCGTGGTCGGGGCCGGAGAAGAACCACCCCATCAAGGGTATGAACGACCCCAGCCTCCTGAAGCAGAGCCTGGGCCGCACGACCCTCGGGAGGTGGACGTCCCGATCCCACACCTACGGGTTCCAGACAAGGACCGTCACAGCCACAGCCAGGATCGTCCTAACCTAACAGATAATTCGACTCTTGAGCAGCATATATAGGAGCAACACGTTCTTTGTAATTCATCACTGACATACAAACTTTGTGTTCTTCCCAGACAACGGATGGCCACCGGCGACGACCGAAGAGCAGCCTGCCCTGGCGGCGTCCCAGCAGACACGTGGGTCATGCCATCACCGAGGAGCCTGTCTACAGCTCCCCCAATCCGGCCAACATCCAATACCAGCCCTCTCACTCCACCTACTCCAAGTACGACACCACACACTCGGAGCTGACCTCCAGTGACGTGCACTATGACCCCACCCACCAGCTGATGGCTAATACACAGCACAGTGCTAGCCTCTTCACCCACAAGGACGAAGGCTCCGTCTTCCTCCCACCGCCACTCCTGCCACCACCTAAGGGCTTTGGCAAGGCACAAGACTCTCTCTTCATCCCAGGAACGTCACTACCTCGATTCCTGCCCCCTCCGCGCCTTTACAAACAGGCGCCTAATAAGCTCGGACAAAGGCCGCCCTCTCAGATTGATGCGTATGACTACGACCCCGAGGCTCCCCCCATCCCCCCCAGGAACTACTCGCGGGAGGAGGCTGGCCTGCCGCCCCAGGGACAAGGGGGGACGTCTCCTCCCCGCCCCCAGATGAAGGACGCCCAGGTGGAGGCACACGTAGAGAGTGATGCCCTCACGCAGGAGGTTAGTGTGCAGGAAGGATCTGAATGAGTCATACTTGATAGGGTAAATGCATCGTAAGTATATATTATTTTTTTCTAAAACATTACTGTTTTACTGTTTACGGTATTGTTTGTAGAACAATTACCATTAATGTTATCATGCTTTAAAGATATTCATTGTGCAATACCTGTGACATCTTTTAATCTCATGTTGCAGCATCATAATTATTTCGACACATTGCAAACAATAGTTGTTATTAAGACCTTAAGACCTGCTCACACGTTACTAAGCTAATGAGTTCCACACCTGTGGCCAGGGATGATTACCTGCCACCTCACCTCCTCAGTTTGAAGTCCTTGTCGTATAAGCCCATATATTACAGTGACAAATATGTATATTTTATATACAGTATTGTCTTAAGATATTTGTGTTGCAGAACGTTCAGATGATTAAAATAATTTGCTAAGGTAATGTTTATTACTGATAATTTAAAGCGATGATTCCAAAGAGCTTGAGGGTGGGTTGGAAGAAGTGTAGTGCTCCAGCACCATATGGCTCACCTCTCTCTCTCCTTCCTGCCCACCAGCAGGAGAGAGACAGACGACCGTCCGCCTCATCGTCACAGCTCTCTGAGTCCGGAGGGTCAGAGAGCAGCACTGCTCCTCATATAGGTCGCCTCCGCCGCCGCTTTCACGACCTTCTCGATGATGCCTTCTCTCTGCTGAATGGCCAGCGCCCCGGGGACAGGGTCACGCCCCTCACTACCCCATCACCCTCTAGGAAAGGTCGCTCGAGGTCAGCAGCAATGCAGTACAGGTAGAGCTTGTTATTGCCGCTTTGGGGACCCTCTTGCTTATCTCAGTCATGTTCCAAATGCAGTCTCCTCAAGAAAGTAATAATTTGTAACATGCATACTTTTCTTTTCTTCCTTTGAACTTTAAATATAATTTGATCTAGAGTAAAAGAGGGAGTCCACAAGAAGCATTCAGCAACTTTAAATATTTGTGAGGTTATTTAGGCAGCAATTTGCGATTCTCTCATAAACTTTCATAAGAACATAATAATAAATAAAATTACAGAAGACCTATTGGGCCATGCGAGGCAGCTGCTCTTTATATCCACCATCAAGTCCTCTTCCACTCGGTGATCCCACATCTGTTATGACATTCGGTAATTTATTTCATAACTCAACAGCCCTATTTATTTCCAAACCAGTATTTACCCAGGTCTTTTCTAAATCTGAGCTTATCTAATTTGTTTCTATTGTTTCAAGTTCTATTTCATGTTGATATATCTTGTATACTTGTACATCAACCAAATCAAGTTATTTTATTAAAATAATGAAAGATAGAAATAAAATAAATAAGTGTTCAGGAAAAAATTTACCAAAATACGCCGTATAGGGAAAGTAAATTTTCGTCTGAAGTCTTAGGCTTTCGTATTTGGAAAAGTGAATTTTTCGTTAGCTCTTATTTATACCTTCCTCTTGTTCTTACCCTTATCTCTTACCTGCTCCTCACTTCTCATCTCACTCTCACCTTATTTAGTTGCCTGCCCTTTCCAGACGGGAGACATCTCCCGTCCACGAGGCTAACCATAGCCCGTGCTTCTTGCCCCGCTCCTGTGCCAGGTAAGTTATGGGCTCACCATAGCCCGTGCTACTTGGAACTTGTTCCGAGTAGCTGAATCTATAACAACAACATGCTGTCGTCCACAGCACCGCTCCTGTGCCAGGTAAGTCCACTACGAGCTCACCATAGCCCGTGCTACTTGCCCCGCTCCTGTGCCAGGTAAGCTACGGGCTCACCATAGCCCGTGCTGCTTGGAACTTGTTCCGAGTAGCTGAATCTATAACAACAACAATCCTGTCGTCTTATTTACGGGCTAACTAAATTCCCTCTCCAGCTTCCAACACTCCTACCATCACCATCTCAACAGAAGCACTAGCAGAAGTTCAGTGTACAAATATTAACAGCACCACCAACGATCCTGTAATAGCTTCTACCGCCAATCCACGACACCTGACCCTACCTCAGGCTGCGAGACGAAAGACGAAAACGCCATGTACGGATGTTACGATTTCCTCAGACGAGGAAATCTTAGTAGGAGCTCCACCGCCGCACCACAAATACGACACCTACTTGGTAACAATACCTTCTCATGGAGGCCACCTCACCAAACCCCAGCGACAGCACCACTCAGCCAAAGTCTCAGGCAAAGAAAAAACGGAAGACCTAGAGGTCTACACTAACCCCACCAGCTCCATGACTGGTACAGCCAGCCCTCCGAGGCTGAAATCCACCATGAAGACCCCCATTCATCCCCCAGATCTCTAATATCAACTATTGATTCAGATAATGGCTCCAAAGATCCTCCACTTACGGGATCACAATAGCCCGTGCTACTTGGAACTTTTTGTTCTGAATAGCTGAACCTAAGACAACAACAACATCTTGTCTTCTGGCTGGTATTGGATGAGGGCCCGACAACATAGCGCGACAAATTAATGCAGAAAACCCAACTCTGAAAGCGACGACAGCTCTACTCATCAAAACAGCTGACAACAGAAGAAAAGGCCCAGGAAGCAGCGAAGAAAGGATTCAAATGCTTTGGAATTACCTTCTCCGAACCAGATCGGACGCTCCACGGACGACGACAACTGTGGACACCCAGACGGACGCTCCACGGACGACAACAACTGTGGGCACCCAGACGGACGCTCCACGGACGACGACAACTGCGGACACCCAGATTCGACGCTCCACGGACGAGAACTGCGGACACCCAGACGGACGCTCCACGGACGACAACTGTGGACACCCAGACGGACGCTCCACGGACGAGAACTGCGGACACCCAGACGGACGCACCACGGACGACGACAACTGCGGACACCCAGATTCGATGCTCCACGGACGAGAACTGCAGACACCCAGACAGACGCTCCACGGACGACAACTGTGGACACCCAGACGGACGCTCCATGGACGACAACTGCGGATACCCAGACGGACGCTCCACGGACGACAACTGCGGACACCCAGACGACGCTGACAGTGGTAGACAACACAAAGAAAGCAGGAATACTGGCGACACAGAACGAAGAAGACCACGTATCTTCAGACGAGTATGTGGACGATGAGGATCTCTCCATTGTAGATGAGTATGGCTCCGAAGATGCAGTTTCGACGTCTCAACGGGTACGAACGCGCTTTTAGGAATGACTAGGCGATCACCGTCGACTTACAGCGGAATATCGTTGAGGATCTCCCGCGATACCCTAGACTGTTGCCTGTGGACACCCATGTACACACACAAAGCCAAAACAAGAAACCAAAAAACAGGAAAAAATTAGCCCTGAAGGCACTCTGAGATAGTGATGCTGTAGTGAAATATCAAACAAGGTCTTCTGGCTGCTGCTCGGCCCACTTGCCCCCTTCCCCCTCCCTGGTGCTTTTTGCGGTCTGATTGATTCCGCTATCTATCCAAGAATCCTTGCCCGGTTGCTGGGTTAAGCCCTGGCTCTACTCTCTGCGACGCGGAAGCTTCCTCTCCAGACTGTACTGTACATCCGACTGTCCCACTTTCCAGACCCCTTCATCCACAAATCAACAGTATCAGCTACTGGTAATGACTTCAAGCAACCTCCACTTACGGGCTATTCATGCCCGTGCCACTTCTAGGGTGGCTTAATCTTTATCAATCAATCAACCTGTCTTCTATTACACGGCTTGACAATATGCAGGCGATGAGTCACAATAACGTGGCTAAAGTATGTTGACCAGACCACACACTAGAAGGTGAAGGGACGACGACGTTTCGGTCCGTCCTGGACCATTCTCAAGTCGATTGTCACGGACAATCGACATTTTTAGCACAATCGACTTGAGAATGGTCCAGGACGGACCGAAACGTCGTCGTCCCTTCACCTTCTAGTGTGTGGTCTGGTCAACGACTTGACAATGGTCCAGGACGGATCGAAACGTAATCGTTTCTTCAGTCTGATGTGCAGTTTGCTCATCATATCTTCAGCCACGTCAATTCATTTTGACTCATCGTCAACCCGTGAAGTAACGCACTACACATTTGAGGCAAAAATAAAAATTTAGGGTAATTGATTATCATGGAGATGGTGAAAATTAATAAGGAAAACTATATAGGAGGATAAGTGGTTTTCATAAAATGGAAAAAGAAGTCAGTAAAATTATAACAGAATTTTAGGCTTTATTCGTCGATCATTGAGTCTGAGTCCATGGAGGGTCATGCTCACTCTAATATTCATCATAGGAGCCTAGTACATTTATAGTAAATACAGGTAAATATTGTGTATAAGATTTGTCACTTTAGTTGAGAGAAGATATGGAGAGATTGCAGAACGGTGAGCACCTGGGGCTAGATTCACAAAGTAGTTACGCAAGCACTTACGAACGTGTACATCTTTCCTCAATCTTTGTTTCGGAGCTCATTAACTGTTTAATAATTGTAAACAAAGCCGCCAAAGATTGAGGAAAGATGTACAGGTTCGTAAGTGCTTGACTAAATACTACTATTTAAAGTATTAAAGTTTATGATACGCTTCATTCAGAAAGTTACAATACTTTAATTTTGTGATTACATATCAAACATAATGCTTAACAATTATTTTGAATTGAATACAAAATAATTGCATCAATAAGCTACTGAACAACTTATTCAAGAAAGGTTTAGAATCATGCATTCTATACATTTGAAAATGGGCAGAATAATTAAATTTCTTTACAGCCTATGCATTGTATATCTTATGAATAAAATAGTATTGTAATTGTTAACGTGTAATATTATTGTAATTAACTAATTATTATTATTGTAGTTATTAACTTTTAATATTATCGTAATTAAGTAATTAGTATTATTGTAATTATTACTTGTTATATAGCTTGTTGTTGCCTTAAGAAGTAGCCTCGCTTGGGTCCAGTAGTATGTTAACTCCTGTATATTTACTTTTGCTTTTTGTATATTTCCACCACCTCCTTGGTGGTGGGTTGTGTTCACCTGCTGCCTTGTGTAATGTGTGTGTGTGGTGTGTGGCAGAGGCGGCGAGGAAGGCCAGCAGGGGACAGCTGCTCGCCCGTGGTCTGCCACAGCCGTCCATGCCTCGCCCCCAGCCTGGAAGGATGCGCAGGTATGCTGATCCTGCAAGGTCTCGCAACTCTTACATGTATCTTTAATTGTTGTAAGAGTGAAGGGAAAGTACCGAGGATACGCCATTCTTTTCATTTGTGGTCCCCTTAGAATTGTCCAAAACTACCCAAAGTTTCATAGAATTATGTAAATGCGTAAATAATAAATTAAACATACTTTCTCATTTGAATATTTGTAGTGACTGTAGTATTTAATAAACATAACTCGGGAATAGGCTCGTAGTGTAAGAATATAAGACCAATATGGGAGTTGGGAGGGTATTATTAGGGGAAAGTGCCAAGCGATGATGTGCTCAAATCGTCGACTTCCTTTAAAATCACCAACCAACCTAATTACACTTTATTTTTGTATAAGATGAACTTATTTTCGAGTAAAATTATGTTAATCGCGTTCTAATGTAAAAGTCTCGCTTGTTACTTTTCTTGAACATTCTCACTTATGTTAGTTTACTGCTCTTATAGTATGAAGTGTTTTCACCTTTAAATCATTTTTAGCTAAATTATTTCAAGTTTTGCCCAAAACGTTTTGCATAACAGTGGCTTCATTAACATGTGTAACACCTGTCCCTAAAATTATCCCTTACTCTTGCGTTCTATGTACACGTTCTTTTCAATATAAATTATTATTATTATTATTATTATTATGACAATATATATTCAATTTCTCCTTTAGCTCAATTTATAGTTTTAATTTTATAATTTGTATGTTTAAAAATTTTTTTTATATTAGTACTTCAATTTACCATAATGATGTAAACAGCTTTGGCTTTACTGGTGACTTAAGACCGAAACTGGATTATGGTTATGTATAGAATAAATATCTAAGACAGCATCATCAGTTAATTGTCACAAATGTATCAATTGATGATGAATGTCTTAACCCCAGATAGAAGGAGGTGGGTGAGGAACTGTGGAAATAACTCTGGAGTCATCAGACATACCAGGTGTACAGTGGAACACCATTGGTGTAATACCACACTGTTGCAGGTGGTGGGTGTGGTGCCCCTCCACGACGACAGGTCGCCCAAGTCAGCCTGGGGAGATGGGGCTGGTCGAGCGAGTGCTCGTCCTGGGAGCGCTCGTCCTGGAAGTGCTCGCCCTGGAAGTGCTCGTCCTGGGAGCGCTCGCCCTGGAAGTGCTCGTCCTGGAAGTGCTCGTCCTGGAAGTGCTCGTCCTAACAGTGGTCGTAGCGCCCGAAGTATCACTCCAGTCAACCATCCTCCGTCACCTGACGGTGAGACAGTTGTTTTAATCCAACAATCACCGACTCATCTTGTGTAAAATTATGCTAAGGTTTTCTTCACGATTTCTTTCTCACACTTCATAACGTAGTACATGTATTTGTATTCACAAACACTGATACAGAGCAGGCTACAGAGCTATTTTTAAAGGTGATGAAAAGAATGAGGCCAAAACATTTCTTGCTAAATCACAATGTAACCAAAGGATGCATTGCTAAGCTTCACATCGTAACACTATTGCGGCAATGGGTACAGTACGATCAAGGGAATATAGTCAGATAGAATCGACATGAGAATGGTCCAGGACGGACCGAAATGTCGTCGTCCCTTCACCTTCTAGTGTGGGGTCTGGTCAACAGATAGAAAGCATTTATGTTGTGATAATGATCGAACTACTCATTTTATCAGTACAATACTCAGCATCCATTACCAGAATGATGATAAATAGAAAAATATGTATCTAAATAAACTAAATAAGCCGTTGTTTCTGTAATTCGTAATTATAAAAATATTTAATGAAAGTGCCCATCTTTAGTTTTGTGAAAGTCACCATTGTTCTCTTCATCAACATTTTAAAATTTAAATTTTTGTAAGGCCTCATGTGAGTGTATATTTTTTTTTAGTTATAATTACCAGAATCCTTCAATTTCAAGAATAATATACTTATTGCTCGAGTAGTAGCCGCTCATTGCTAAAAAAAACTATTTATAGATACTCATTATCAAGCAGCTTGACCTCAGAACGCCTCCCTGTCAACAATATATTTTAATATGACGAGAAATATTTACTTGTCAGGTGTTGCTTGTGGAGCAGAGGAGCCGCTGGACCCTGACACTGGGCTGCGTTCCTCAGATCCTGCCGTGCCACTCATCAGAGCCATCAAGGAGGAGCTGCGACGCTTCAAGTCCTCCATCAGTACCGAGTCGTCCACAGCGTGAGCGGTGCTGGCAACCCAGCCTCCTGTTTAGTTAGTACGTGTTGTAACTCTGTGTACCATCGTATATATCTTGCCGTAAAAGGCAATTAGATTGTCGAATTGGGTACTATTCACTTTATAGAATCGAAAAAATAAAGCTAAAACCCAAATTAAATATTTCTAGGCCTAGTAAAACACATATATATGTACTATATTAGGCCTCAGATAGTGTTGTATTAGGCCTAAAGAGCTTAGGTTAGGTAAGTTTAGCAACATAAATTCAAAACCTTTTCCAGTTTGTCCAGATTCAGTAGTACACATGTCTACTATCTTAATTGCCTTGTACATCAATATATGTAGGATGGTCCTCTTCGTTACTATAAGTACTACGTAAAGAGGAGGATGGGCTGGTCCCACACACTCCCAAGTCACTGTGTTCACCTGCAGCCTGAGGAGAGACCTTCACTTCCCTGAAGTGGGCTGCGATATGCTCTTCAGTCAAGTTTTCTGTGTTCAAATCCTTGTTAAATACAATTCTGTACATAGGATATGTAGTGAACATTAATTTGTTGCTGAGTGCAGTGTTTTACTGTGGATGTTCAGTGTCGTTCAAATTACAGTAAAACTGCTGTGATTTTTTCAGACCTACAGTGCCATTGGGATTCTTCCAAATCAAAGATGTGAACTCCCTTTAGCATAAACAGGTGACTATTTAAATTTAAACACATTTTTTCAAAATGTAGTTTGCCTTAAGACTTTCTTTAATCATACTCTATTCATTAGGGCTATACAGTCTGGACAGTATGAGAAGTTAGTTTGAATTGACCCAAAACTTTCTGATACCAATTACTTGGTGCCTGTTGATTAGCGATCAGCAGCGTCTGAATATTTATGGCACCATTTATTTTATAAATTTTCCTCCGTCGTAGATTACAGTGTGTGCCGGCGTGTGACTCTTGAACCATCTGGATAGTGCAGCTTAATGCGTGGAAAAGTATTATACTGGGTCTACATAAGTGTTCAGTAAACATGGTTTGTGACAGTGAAGCACCACAGTGTGCCCTAAATTTGGAGTGAAAGTAAAAGGATTGTATTATAACCAAAACACTGATATAAACAGAATTTTCCAAACTTTGGTAAAGGTGTGACATCTATACCATCAAATACTACAAGAAAAGGGAGACTAAAGCAAACGCAACTTGACTGCAATGCCCAGAGAGATATTTACACATGACTTTATAAGGAAAGCATTTTTGAGAGAATCAACTATATAAACTCTTAAGCTGTATTTAGCTATCAAATGCTTGTACTTTTATTTTATATTCTGGAAGGCGTATAGCTACCCTCCTCAATGTCCATCTTCGTCGCATCACTGCCAAGGTATCAGGCACTACACTGGGAACGAGTAGACTGGGACCAAACAAAAATGAAGTCTGCAGAAACTGTTCGAGGAAATTAGACTGGAATTTTAACTACTGCTAAGAAATGAAATTTATATCCAGCTGGTTGACACTTTATTAGACATAATCAAATTTTATGGAATGTCTGATTACTTATTGAACTAATAATTCTTAATTAATTGACATATATATATTTTAACCTTTTTATAATCTTGTAAAATAAAACGGAAAATAACATTGCCTATATTATTATTATTTATTTATTTGTAATATGGGTGTGAATAAATTAAAATTATTACACACCTAAACCTAATTTTAGACTTTCCTGAGAATATCTATTTAAATATTAATTTATGAATGAAATAGCAAACTAATTAATAGATTTCCACTTTTATTATTGAAAGCAAAATTTGTGCTGTTCAACTTGCTTTTACATTTGCTTTATTTGCAGTGTAGAGCACTGTATGCTGAGTACCAGATGTCTGTGCCAAATGTATCTTAAATGGTTTCTTCTATTCTGACTCTACTAGACATGAGTTTGGCTCTCTATAATAATTGAAGATAAGGAAACTTTAAAGAAAAAAATATGACATTTTTCAGCTGCCAGTCAAAGGAAAATATTGATTTCGAGAAGTGAAATATATTATTATTATTATTATTATTATTATTATTATTATTATTATTATTATTATTATTATTATTATTATTATTATTATTATTATTATTATTATTATTGTTATTATTCACAAAGAAATCATATTAATGTGATTTTCTCATTGATCCATCATGTGAATGCAATTTCTTTGTGGATTTGAAGGGAGTGTTGGTTAAGAACTCCAATATCACACCAGAGTGTACGTGGGATGGTGTATAAAAACTTGATTTGATATTGGTTCAATGCCTCAAGACTCCTAGTGGATTCAGTGGAATTCCAGGTTTCATTATTTATACCATATTGTAGCTCAGTGGTTTAAGGCGTTTGCTTGGGACTTCCGATGGTGCAGGTTCGAATCCTCTGCATTGCTCCAATTGATTTCCTCATTATTATTATATGTGCAATTATTTTTTGTATTAATCATTGATATATTGCCTAGTTATGATCTTTTTAATGATACAAATGCTGGATAATAATAATAACAATAATATAGAATAGAGCTGTTTAATGATTATTATTAATTATTATAGATTAAGATAAATCAATATCAACTGGTACTGTAATAGATGCAATCAGTGTACAAATGTATAATAAGTGCTAAGCATATGTAACAGATTTTGTATTGAACTCTTGTAACAAAACAGAGCTTAGTAGGACACTTGGCTTGTTTATTATGCTCATAGGCATTAATATTTTAAGGATGCTATTTTGAAATTTCAGTTGGGGATAAAATACTTTTTTATAAGTTTCTTTTAAAATACAAATATTTGTATTTTCAAAGTGATGGAGGTAGTGGGTGTGGTCTGCGGTTTGATGCTCCTATAAGTTAAGTGAAAAAAATGACTAGCTACCACATAGTGGGTAATGTGCTAGAGAATGCAGTAAAACTTAATTTATATTCCTTTGATTTAATAAAATGTTTTACAGTAATTATTTTTTTTATCGATTTATTTCCTTATAACGAATTAAGAACATAAGAATAAAGGTAATTGCAGGTCTAAAGATCCCCTTCAGATCTATTCCATTCTATGCTAAATCTGATTTCTTTGTGATCACTGTTCACTCACTTTGCGATTCGCCTAACTCACTCCCTATTTCGATGTCATTAATTTGTGTTTCCCTGTTAGTTAACGCTAATTCTAACATATTTTTTTCCCCGCCTTATTCCTTAACGTGTTGCGTAAGAAAATAATCGTCACTTAATTCTAAAAAATCTTCAGCTTTATTATTTCCAGTTCTGCTAAACCAGTTTATTCCTTCCACTAAAATTAAAGTCACCCATGACACAAATATTGTTAGTCCTAGATGCTCTAGATATTTCATCCCATAGGTACTTTGCTTCCATTCTGTGTAAGTTTGGTGGCCTGTATATAACTCTTATTATGAGATTATTTACTTTTTCGTTTAATTCTAGCCAAATAGTTTCTGTATGTGGCTCAGTTTTGATTCCCTCTTTGAGACTACATTTCAGATTTTCCCTAATATATATGGCTACTCCCCCTCCTCGTCTAATATATCTATCTGTCTGTGTGAAATAGTTTAAATCCATTTATTTGATATTCAGCTAATAGTTCTCTATTTTCTACATACATCCACGTTTCGGTAAGTGCAATAATATCTATTCTTCCTGTGCAGACAAGAGCATTTAAATCGTTTATTTTGTTTCGACGACTCCTACTGTTCATGTTATATACCTTAAGTGAATTGTTATTTTGAGGCCCTTCTCTTTCCCTGATCATTTTACCAATTTGTTTCACAAACACATACTTTTATTACCTCCTTTCTCCATATCAATTCCCACAATGCCACTATCTACTAACAGTTTAATAAACCCAAACCAACCCCTCCCACCACAGGTTCCAACAAGTTGGCAACAGCAGCAACCTCAGCCATAAGAGATGCACCTGTAGCGAGTAGATTATCCCAATAATATACTCGCTCCAAATATAGTGTTAATATTCCTGTCAACCTTTGGAGTTGAATGAGGTGAGGCGTTGCCCGGGCAACACGGTGAGGTGTTGCCCGAGCAATATAAGCGGCAAGAATAGCAAACATTAACTAGTCTACTTTCAAGTGTGGTCTAGAGCAGACACTTGCGAGATACTGTACCGACGCTCAGTGCGCTCAACTCACACCAAAGTATCACCGGTGTACTTCTGTATATTCGACCAAATATATATATAGTATCTTAGTGTCTGTGTTTATTTGTCACCATACTTTACGTAACAATAGAACAGTTACACACCCCATCCCGAGCATAATGTCTTAGCAGTCTCCGTGGTGTAGTGGTAAGACACTCGCCTGGCGTTCCGCGAGCGCTATGTCATGGGTTCGTATCCTGGCCGGGGAGGATTTAATGGGCGCAATTCCTTAACTGTAGCCTCTGTTTAACGCAACAGTAAAATGTGTACTTGGATGAAAAAACGATTCTTCGCGGCAGGGGATCGTATTCCAGGGACCATAGGATTAAGGACTTGCCCGAAACGCTACGCGTACTAGTGGCTGTACAAGAATGTAACAACTCTTGTATATATCTCAAAAAAAAAAAAAAAAAAAAATGTAATTTCTTCCATAGAAGTGTTCCCAGTTGTCTATGAATGATATTGCATTTGATTTGCAATATTTGTCCATTTAATAAATAAATTGTAAAATAAATTCAGCAAATAATATAAACCCCCTTGATATAGTGGCTATTGAATATAGCTTTAGTAAGCAATTCTGGACTTTTTTTTTTTGTAAGTATGGTAATTTTTTATTATATAATTGCCTTCATTATGCTCTATAAATGTCCTAAAAATATAGTTTCTCAAATATTATCGCAGGGTGGTAGGATAACTATCACCCAGCAAAGGTTTAAACAATTCCAAATCACTTTTTTATTATTAAGCTTAGGTATACACAGCAAAGTGCTGCTACCCTCTTCTATATTAAAGATTACACAGTGTAGATAAAAAACTAGCTATGAGTTCAACTAATATTCCCATCTCACAGCATGGTTAGTCATACATGGAATCAGGGGAGAAAATACCAGCCTCAATACAAAAACAAATCAACTAAAAAAAAAGGAACTACGAGCCTCCAATTTATTTTAGTTTCCCTTGCACACAGTGTATAGAATACTAGTTTTCTTTGAATCACACTAGTATGACAAACTCATGAATTCTTTTCGCGCAGAGATCACACCATCTGTAACATGCAAATAATTATGTCCATGCATTAGACCTTCCTTTGAATGAATGAATTGACAGCTTAAAATCTTTGAAATAGTAAGCTCACCAGCAAAATCCATCAACCATACTGTTTTTTTTCCCTGTCGCTACCACACAATCAGATTTTCAGATTCCAGAAGGTTTATATTCCATAGCTTCTCTTGGCGGACACAGGAGTTCCTCCTGCAGCAGCCATCCTTCCTGCTGCTAAATTATATAAATATATTTCGATTAGTAATGTTTGGTTACATTTAACGCTGTTCTAGCCGCTACAAATATCGAGTAGTTTACTGTACACATACTCGAGAATCTGCCAGACCTGTAAGTGACGTCACTATAAATAGCGATGGTGAATTGTGCTTGTACTTTTCTAACAGTGTCTATTTCAGGCTGAATGGACAAGTTACGATGGTACGTTATGGCGTCAAATTATTATTGTCTAAATAATGTTGTTGTTGTTGTTGTTGTTTTAGGGGCGACGACGATCGTAGGATCGGATGCGCCCCGGCGTACCCGTGAAGGGGTAATCGCGTAGCCCGGAAAGGTGAAACGCGAAGCCAAACCGCGAAACGAGTGACGCCAATTACTGGAAACTAATATGCCTCGCGGTAAATAAACTCATACAGGCAGATTATTGGGGAGCCTCAGGAGTCCCTCAGGGTGACAAGCACCGGCCCTGCCCCACATAGAGAACACTGGGGAGCAAAACCAAAAACTCAGCCCCCAGATAAATCGCAAAAGTCATCCAGTGCTCCACCCCCCTTACAGAGCAGAAGCCAATCGCCCACCACGACTGAGGGCACACCAGAAGCCCACCAAGACCCACCAACTCCCGGCACTTCTCGGCCAAGCCGGCACCGGACCGGAACACATTTACCAACAATCCTGTTGGTTGGCGATATGTGCGTCAGGCGTCGTACAACTGGACCGTTGAATAGTGATGCCAAACGGCAGTATCAAATCCAAATCGCAAAACAAAACGTGATCCGGCAGCTCCCAGGCGGAGGAGGCGTCCAGACGTCTGTTCGGCGTCAAGGTTGAACCAGGAGTCCGTCTCAATAGTGCAGCTTCCCTGGATTGCTATCGTTCAAATAGTTTTGTTTTGCACGTATTTGTGAACAGCTGTAATTTATGAGTAATAATAATTTATTATTCAGATGTATAACACCTTATTTTAAAGATCGAAAGGCCAATTTTGCTGTGCTCCACTACACCGCTGGCCCCATACTATATAGAATGCATTAGGCCCGAATATCACGGCGTGACACTTGTTTCTTATGAGCACCTTTTACAGACACCCATGATATAAATGGCTTCATCATTCCAAATTTAATTTTAAATAGTCACGTTATTCTGTGCCTTAATGTTTGTGGGAGGTGTGTAGAATTCGTTAGAGACGACAATAGCCTTCCATAACATTAACCTAACCTATAGTTTGGCCCACCAAGTTGTACCTTTTTTGTCAATTTCGTGATGTAAGGAATAGTGTGACTATAACGTCTGGCCTTGTAGCTGGTAGGTCTGACCTTGTAGCTATTATAGGTATAGGTTAAGTAATAATTGAAATTACGAAGCAATAAGATGCTTATCTTAACATACTAAGAAGGTTAGGTAAGGTCGGTGTTTTCTATGAAGCTTTTCAAGGTAAACTAGTATGTTTAGTATGTAACATATGCACGTATTTAATAAGTCAATATTGACTGTAAGAAAGTGCGAGAACGGGTTGAGCTGGTGGCTGAAATCCGCGTGGAAGTCGTTTGAATTTCGATTGGGTTTCGTTATTTTTTGAACTCATAATGAAGTGGTATAGCTGTTTGACAGCTGATTGTGCAAGCAGGTGTTGCCAACACCTGCGTCAGTGGGCCAGAATCAGTGCCACTCCTTGGACGTTGTTTGGGCTAGACATCATGTAGTTATTTACGTCTACTCACGCCAAGGGTATTTATACATTCCTGCTGAGGTCGATTCTCTTTTGTTGTTGTTGTTGTTGTTGACTAGCTCACGAATGCATTAGCATGTCTCCGTAGTTAGGGTCCCATGGTGAGCGCACTACTTTATTTCGAAGAGTCATGTCTCTAAGGTTTTCCCAACCCGTTCTCGGACCAAGTCCATTCTATCCAGCGGTCGTCTCCAAAGACGCATTCATCAAATTTTATATTCTGTTCATTCAAAACTGAACTTTTCTCATATATAAATCAATATTATTATATATTATCATATTGTGCAAATTTAGACACTGGTTAGGTTAGATTAGGTGTTAAGGTTCTATTGGCGATTATTTGTATTTGTAGTACGGGGGTGAAGCATTTACAGCGTTGTGGTTCGAACAACTGTCGTCACCGAAGCACCTGTTCCGGAAGTGTTCGTACGTCATCAGTTGTGAGTCGTGTGTAAACAATTTTTCATTCATAAACAGGGGGTTTGGTGGTTGCATGGAATGGACTTTGGGTATTCGTATCGTCGTCCAAGCTTCGGTCGACTCCAAATAACGCATTCGTCAATTTGAACATAAAACGGTATTTACAAGAAGATAAACTAATATTATTTCATATATTTTTCTGTATGTTAAGGCCTTGAATAGGTGTTTTAGTTCTTGGCGATTATTTGGCCCGTTTGTTTTGAGTAATAGTTACAGCGTTATTGATTCAGCGTGATTAACTATCATTTGGGGGGGGGGGGGGGGGAGGGTTAGAAATAGCCTAAGCTACTCTACCCCTTTGAGATGTATTTTTTCTTGTCTCAATAAGCATACTTGAACTTGAACTAGCATTTGATCAATGTTTATGATAACAAGCTGGGTTTTCAAGAGTCTCCTTTGAGAAGACTCCTGCCGAGACGACACAGTATCGGGTGGTGTTTCGGGATAGGGTTGCCGAAGCAGACCAAGTGAGTGGCAGCCCTCCTCGTCAACAGTATGAGAGACATGAGGTAGTTGAGTGTGTGCTGTGAATTCGTACTCACATTTGGTTTGTGCGGGAACTTCAAGTGATTTTTTTTATTATTGTTGCCGACAGCAGCGGGTAGTGTATTGTGCACCCCCATATTCGTCTAGTGAGCGGGAACGCAGAAGGATTACAAAAGGTATAGATCTTAATCAGACCCCAAAGGATGTTGTTTAGCATTGTTTTTCTATATTTTATGCCCGAAACGCTTTGCGTAATAGTGGCTTTAGGCATTGTATGTACTAGCTCTACCTATAAGTCAAACAATCCTTGTAAATATTTATTGTATGTATGTACCTTACCTAAATAAAATTGTATTGTATTGTATAATTTACCAGCACACGTAATATTAAATTATAACGATGCCTATTAACAGAACACCACATGCACTGTAATTTGAATGATAATATAATACTACACATTGGTTATAAGTTTGTCATTGGCATTAAAGTGATATGCCATTTCATGCAACGTGAATTTTCTTTATTCATATCTGGTTAAATTTTTACATAGTATAAGATGTAATGCCTATATCTGTGTCTGGCTTTAGAGTCAAGCACGTGTACATTATAATTTGATTGCAACCGACATAGCGCCAGTTATGGGGGGATAGGGAACCTGAGATAATTAAGCTAATGCAGATATATAAGCACAGTTTCGCACCTGCATATTGTCGAAAGTACAAATATGTCTTGACGGGCCACCAGAAAGACTTTTTTGTATTATTGACTTCATACAAACCTGAAATTTGTTTTTGTTAATAAAACCTTAACTAACCTAACCATCCTGGGCCTAATACAAGCTATCCGAGGCCTTATATTATACATATATGTGCTATACTAGGCTTGGGAATATTTATGTTTGGTTTTTAGCTGTAGTTTTCCGGAGACTATATTGAAATAATACAAAAAGTACTACTGAGGCTCCAGTACTATCATTTATGGAGAATGGGTTGCGGGATTTAGTTCCCTTATTTATGTGCGAGTTTCCCCTTATACATAGTTCTTTAGGGACATGAAGTTCCGTCAAGAGGGTTTTTTTTCCTCCCTCTATTCCCTGAACTTTTGGTTTTCGGGTTTCTCGCAGACACTGAGACTCTAGGGTCTCTCTCTGCATCTATATCGGGAGTCAGTTTCTCCATATAGAGGTTCCATTGCTTCTTCCTGTTGGGTTTGGGTTTCTTTTTCCTCGCTACATCTGAGGCCATTTTCGGGTTCTTCTGCTTGATTCGGGTTTGCAGTTTTTGAAGTTCCTCTTAATTTTATTTTATCTTAGGCTTAGATGTTCTTGCCGCAAGGCTATGGCCACGCATTGGAGATGGGGTAGATTACAGTTCTGCTATTGTCTCCTGATTAAGGTCACAGAACGACTTTATTACATGTGACAGTCGTAACTCAGTTACTTGGGCTTGTTTTGTGATCATGTAGCAAAACCTTTCTATATTCAGTAATTTTTTATAAATATTTGTTTGGATATTTCGTTATTTGCGAGTTAACAATGTATATTTGCAGGATTAGTCCTGTTTAATCAGGTAAGAAATAGGTATGCTAACATGGAAGAAAAGGCTAAATGGGATGAAAAATGGGTGAGTGAGGCGGCTTGCAGTGTAATTTACTAACCACACTACTTGTTACAGTTTTTTATATAACTTTAAAAAAATTAAGATTTTGGAATTCATTGCCATGTAAGATGACAGAATTAATGCCATTTGTTTTAAAATTAAAAAAAATGCTAGTGAAATCTAAACATAAGGAGTTAGATGAGGCTTCTTATAAATGTTTTTATGTAGCAGCGTAAATGTGGGAGTTTTGTGGTGATTGTATATTTGTATACAATACAGACTACTGTATTGTATACCGACATTCCACTTACACAACGTAATATGCTCACCTGTCTATGCACAGTGGTTTGTGAATAAATTAATTGTAAACAAAGGGGGAATAATAGAAGCTATTAGAGAGTACACAAGTATTTTGTGCTTTTGATTATTTATAAGTAACAAACATCTTTAAGACATGCTGGAAAGGCAGTCGTATGTGTGTAATAATTATCCACAACACTCCACTATAACATTTCTACTTACACATGTGATTCATATACAATTAAATACAAAATCAAGAGCATATGATTACAGAACAGTCATAGATTTCTACCAATTTTCAGATATACCTTTATGGATATACAAAGGTCTAAGGTTTCCTTACATACGGATATACAAAGTCTAAGCTTCCCTGACATACACACACATTTATGGATATACAAAGTTCTAAGCTTCCCTGTCATATACTCCTTTATGGATATACAAAGTTCTAAGCTTCTCTGACATACGTTTTTGAATATACAAAGGTCTAAGATTTTCTAGACATAGAAATGTTTGAAAATACAAAGAAATAAACTAAACTAAAAGACTAGCCATAAATATTTCGTTATAGAAAGAGATCAGTTATTGAAAATAATTTACTTGAATGTGTTTGTATTCAAGGTCGTCACTCACAAATTATTCATATTCTCATTTTCATATACAAAATAGGCATACAATATACTTTAATAGAAAACAATAAACACAGTTAAAATATTAGATACACAAATGCTCTCTTTATTTTAAAAAATATGAAATTTCCCTCAATGAACTGAGAAACGCCTCGCTTTCATTTTCGAACCCAGTATTTGAATTTTGAAACCATACCAGAAGCGAACGGTTTTTAATGTTTGTGATTTACAGCTTGTATCTCCCTTCCCAGGTCACAGTCAATATTGTTTCTCAAGTCAAATGTCGCCTGTGAATTTATTACTCTAGCCCACAAGGAGGGCTAGAGTCAGTCCTAGTCTTTTCAACATCCTTATGGAAAATCTCGTCACCGTGACAGTTGCAGAAATCACCCGAGTTAAATTTCGGATCACAGGTTAAATAATGCCACATTACATGCTAAATTTCAGGCCAAATGTTACCCCTGGGTCACAAGTCAGATTACAACAGTGCGCAGGTCATAGGTCATCGCCCGTCTTTCAAATAGTTCATCGCAATTTGACGTATAAATCCCTTAAGGGCAAATACTGCAGTACTAAAAACGGTCCATCCTCGTGTTCAGACAGTGCTTATAGTAACGATGTGGACTGAACTTGAAGCTTTATGGGCTTCAGCTCCGGATTTATCTTCAAGGTTGACTCCTGAAGCCTTTCCCAAAAGCGGGTATAGCCGCATGACAGCGGAGGCTAGAGATCAGGGTTTTCCTTTCCCTAGATGAGTTGCTGACCCAGGCTGTCGAGTCCCATGTACCCGGAGTAGCAGGTTTAAAGGCGCCAGAGACACGCCCTCACACCATCATCTGTCAGTAACCGACCAGGAGGTGGACTTAGGTGTCAGAGGCAATTTGAGACGCCCGCCGTAAGGGAGCGTTGCACAGCCCAGGCGGCAGGGGCAAGGAAGATGCAAGCCCGCTGTTTACAACAGCCTGCCTAACATAATACATATGTATACCATTCTACGCCTAGGAATATATTAGTTTGGGTTTTAGCTTTATTTTTTCCTGACTATGAAGTGAATAGTACCAATTATACTATCTAATTGCTCATTACGTCAATATATGTACGATGGTCCACATAGTCACAAAGAGAACTATCTACATAGGAGGATTGGTTGACTAACAATCATAGCGGCTCGTAACACTGATGTGATGCCCTTGGTAAGGTTAAGTTCAGGCAGTTTAGTACGTCTGTTTTGTGACGTTGTCAATGCCGGAGACCTGCTGAGCAGAGAGTACTAATAAAACTTGCTTAGCTTGAACTAATTTGTCGATTGGCTAATTGTTTGCTTTGTTAAATACCTGATTGGATGGTTAATTCCTTAATTGGCTGATTGCCTTTGTTTTTTTTTCATCTATCCGTGAAGCAACTAGTGTACCGTTCATCTATCCGTGAAGCAACTAGTGTACCGTTCATCTATCCGTGAAGCAACTAGTGTACCGTTCATCTATCCGCGAAAGAAACTATGCTATAATATACACAAATATATTGATTATAACCATACATGATACGGCTAGTTTCGACTCGTCTAACATTACCTTACCAAACACACACAACAGTAGCCTACACCAGGGGACACAAGTGTGTGTATGTGTTTACTCTCACCAGGAAAACAAAAACAATTGAAAACGCATCTTATTGTCCTTCTATAGGACATGTTTTTATATGTATTACAAACTATTGTGCCACTAGTTGAGGGCTGTTTTAGGAACAGGAGTTGGTTGTGTGTTCTTGGTGTAGCTGGTCCGTCAGTCAGTACTCCCAGCGGTGCTGGTGGTCAGTAGTTCCAGCGGTGCTGGTGGTCAGTAGTACCAGCGGTGCTGGTGGTCAGTAGTACCAGCGGTGTCAGTGGTCAGTAGTTCCAGCGGTGCTGGTGGTCAGTAGTTCCAGCGGTGCTGGTGGTCAGTAGTACCAGCGGTGTCAGTGGTCAGTACTCTCAATGTCGAAAGTGTCAGGCAGCACAGTTAGTGCCAAACAATATCAAGTTATGCTGAAGAAAATTGTCTTGAATGGAGAGAATGAATGTGACGTCCCTTGTCTTGCGACGTCCCCCTGTCGTCCTGTGACGTCCCCTGCCATTCTGTGGCGTCCCCTGTCATCCTGTGGCGTCCCCTGTCATCCTGTGGCGTCCCCTGTCATCCTGTGGCGTCCCCTGTCGTCTTGTGGCGTCCCCTATAATTCTGTGGCGTCCCCTGTCATCCTGTGGCGTCCCCTGTCATCCTGTGGCGTCCCCTATAATTCTGTGGCGTCCCCTGTCATCCTGTGGCGTCCCCTGTCATCCTGTGCCGTCCCCTGTCATCCTGTGGCGTCCCCTGTCATTCTGTGGCGTCCCCTGTCATCCTGTGGCGTCCCCTGTCATCCTGTGGCGTCCCCTGTCATCCTGTGGCGTCCCCTGTCATCCTGTGGCGTCCCCTGTCATTCTGTGGCGTCCCCTGTCATCCTGTGGCGTCCCCTGTCATTCTGTGGCGTCCCTTGTCGTCTTGTGACGTCCCCTATCGTCCTTTGGCATCTCCCTATCATCCTGTGACGTCCCCTATCGTCCTGTGGCGTCCCCTGTCATCCTGTGACGTCCCCTGTCATCCTGTGGCGTCCCCTGTCGTCCCCTATAATTCTGTGGCGTCCCCTGTCATCCTGTGGCGTCCCCTGTCATCCTGTGGCGTCCCCTATAATTCTGTGGCGTCCCCTGTCATCCTGTGGCGTCCCCTGTCATCCTGTGCCGTCCCCTGTCATCCTGTGGCGTCCCCTGTCATTCTGTGGCGTCCCCTGTCATTCTGTGGCGTCCCCTGTCATCCTGTGGCGTCCCCTGTCATCCTGTGGCGTCCCCTGTCATCCTGTGGCGTCCCCTGTCATCCTGTGGCGTCCCCTGTCATTCTGTGGCGTCCCCTGTCATCCTGTGGCGTCCCCTGTCATTCTGTGGCGTCCCTTGTCGTCTTGTGACGTCCCCTATCGTCCTTTGGCATCCCCCTATCATCCTGTGACGTCCCCTATCGTCCTGTGGCGTCCCCTGTCATCCTGTGACGTCCCCTGTCATCCTGTGGCGTCTCTGTCATCCTGTGACGTCCCCTGTCATCCTGTGGCGTCTCCTGTCATCCTGTGGCGTCCCCTGTCATCCTGTGGCGTCTCCTGTCATCTTGTGGCGTCTCCTGTCATCCTGTGACGTCCCCTATCGTCCTGTGACGTCTCCTGTCATCCTGTGGCGTCTCCTGTCATCCTATGACGTCCCCTGTCGTCCTGTGACGTCTCCTGTCATCCTGTGACGTCCCCTGTCATCCTGTGGCGTCTCCTGTCATCCTATAGCGTTCCCTGTCATCCTGTGGCGTCTCCTGTCATCCTATAGCGTTCCCTGTCATCCTGTGGCGTCTCCTGTCATCCTATAGCGTTCCCTGTCATCCTGTGGCGTCTCCTGTCATCCTGTGGCTTCCCCTGTCATCCTGTGACGTCCCCTGTCGTCCTGTGACGGTCCCTGTTGTCTTGTGATGTCCACGGTTATGTGAGCTGTCTTGTTGTCCTATGACGTCACCTATTACCCTGTAGCACCCCCCTCCCTTTTGTTGTGTAATGTTCCGTGTTTTGTGATGTCACCTGCTGTCCTCTTGTTTCTCCCGCTGACGTGTGACCTCCCATGTTGTGCTGCGACGTCCCCCTGTCACCTCTGTTGTCGTGTGATGTGTCCCGGTGCTTCACGGCGCCTCTGTAGAATGTGACATCTTGCGGTATTTGTGATGTCTTGTCATATTTTGTGACGCCTTTGGTGCTTTATATACGCCGATGACCGGCATTATTCCATGGCGTCTTAGGAGGTTCCTTGTGTCCTTTGAGGTTCCTTAAGTGGTGCCTCTGAGGTTTTGATGAGTACCTCGGTGTCCTGGGACGTAGCTGTGAGGTTTTGTGGTGTCCTGGGACATTCCAGTGAAGTTCCGTGGTGTCCCGCAAGGTTCCGTGGTGTCCTGGGACGTTGCTGTGAGGTTCCGTGGTGTCCCGCAAGGTTCTCTTGTGTCCTGAGACGTTGCTGTGAGGTTCCGTGGTGTCCTGGGACGTTGCTGTGAGGTTCCGTGGTGTCCCGCAAGGTTCTCTTGTGTCCTGAGACGTTGCTGTGAGGTTCCGTGGTGTCCTGAGACGTTGCTGTGAGGTTCCGTGGTGTCCTGGGACGTTCCAGTGAGGTTCCGTGGTGTCCCGCGAGGTTCTCTGGTGCTGTAGGATGTTGGTGTGCCGTGGCGTGCTCTGGTACCCTGAGGTGACCATTGTGGTGTGTCCGCGCGCCTGTGCCCTACGCCGCCTCGTCGTCCTTCGCCTCGTCATGCTTCGCCTGTCGATCATCAATCTTCTTTTGTACTGAAAATAACAAGAGAAATATTGGGTTTAATGCCGCGTGGTTGTGCGTGCTCGCCTAGCTGTGCCTACAGAGTCGAGCTTCAACTCTTGGATCCCTCCTTTTCAGTTATCGGTTTCCTGCTATAAAAACTTTCAACTCTCCTTTTATTTCTCTTCCGTTGTATTGTTTTTATAAGGTGAGGTTCTTCCCGGCCCCTTACGAAACCTGTGCATCTTTCCTCGGTCGTAGGGGCTTACTGTGTATTAATGTCTACGAGCTTGGAGACTTGGCACCCCCAAGGTTATTATTGGTACAGACAACCTCGTAGTGCCGTGGCACTCATAATTCTGTGGTTTATAATAAACACAAAGTGGCCATGACCGAGGAAAGATGTACAGCTTTCGTAAGTGGACATATAAGTGGTTGATAAATCCTGGTTTTGGAACCTCCAGCTTCCGCCCATGGAAGCTGGAGGTTCCTCTTCAACCTTTATTCATTTGGGACCATTTCTGAACTTATTCTATTTTTCGCTACTGCAAGAGCCCCCCCCCCCCCCGCCCCCCTCTAGAACAGCCTCCAGGAGATGGGTGTGTTCTAAAACCACACTATAATGCTGCCTTTTGTTCAACCCAGTGAACTACTGAAGCTCACTGGGTTGAACTTCAGCAGTTGGTCCCCACCTTATAGCCCCCAACCTTATGACCATATTATTACGAGTATTATAATCGTAATACGCATTGTTTATTTGTTTATCTTGATTCCATTTAACGCTTGCCCCCGTCCCAACCCTTCAACACCTTTTAAATCTCCTCCCTCACACTATTACCTCCCCTCCCACCTCACCCCTCCCACCTCACCCCTCCCATCTCACCCCTCCCACCTCACCCCTCCCACCTCACCCCTCCCACCTCACCCCTCCCACCTCACAACCTTCAACCCTAAAACAAAACTGTAAATCATAACACGTCCCGCCTCGAAGCTTAAAGAGTTCACCCAAGAACTCTTAATAGGTTTTGAAAATCAAATATATAATCAGAACACCTTAAGATAAATTCAGACAGGGACAATAGTTAACATAACTATTTATAAGCAATATAACTATTGCTACATAACTATATAGCAATATTGACAGTTACATACAAGAAATAAACACACAATAAACTCACTGACGAGAAAGAATCGTATGTTCACACTTCCACAAAAGTCTGAAAATCCAATTTGCAGTAAATACGGCCAACCACGTCAGTTCTGGGACTTCCCTGCCTTGTTCTGCTTGCCCTTGACATTTCAGTGCCACTCTGTTTCCAATAAACCTGATTATTGTTGTTAACTGTTGTTGTTCTGGACCTTACATTGACCTTATTGTCAGATGTTTTGTCCCTATGGGGGCCCACTTTCCTGTTCTACGTACCTGATACAGGTACTCCATGAGTAGTAGACCAACACCCCCTTGAAGTTGTACCCCGTGACTCCTGGACTAACATCTGTTATATAGATACTCGCATGACTCCTGGACCAACACCCGTTATATAGATACTCACATGACTCCTGGACTAACATCTGTTATACAGATACTCGCATGACTCCTGGACCAACACCCGTTATATAGATACTCACATGACTCCTGGACTAACATCTGTTATACAGATACTCACATGACTCCTGGACTAACACCCGTTATATAGATACTCGCATGACTCCTGGACTAACATCTGTTATACAGATACTCGCATGACTCCTGGACCAACACCCGTTATATAGATACTCACATGACTCCTGGACGATAAGGACGCCCCTTTGAACGGACCATATGAGCCCAACCACTATCGGAGTGAGGAGGACCTGGAGGAAGGCGGCGACCATGTTCCAGCAGACTCCAGCAGTCTTGGTCTCGTAGTGTGTAGGGTACCCGCACATCACCGCCATGCCCGACACGAATGTCCCTGCAAGATGGTGTTGCTCTGGTTAAACTCTGAGCACAAGTCCTATACTTGTGTTACAGGTGTCATACGCGTTGTGCAGTTTTGTAACTTAATTATAACCCAGCAAACGATAGTACTTATCGCAGCTATTGATGGAACGTCCGAAAATGGACTGTTGGACGAGGACAAAAATCACGTTTTGTACTGTTGCAAGGATACATTGGGCACCCCGAAAACTGGAAGTACATCCGAACCTGTCTTAGGCCTAAATTAGCAAATTCTAGGCCTAATGTACTCCATATTAGTGCATGTGTGCTGTTCAAGATCAAGGAGAGTTGTGGTTTACTTGTTGCCTTCTTTCTCATGCTTTCTACACAATAAATACAACAAAACTTGTATTAGTGTACAACCCATAGCCCGTGCTACTTGGATTATTTGTTCCCAGTAGCTGAATCTTATACAACAACAACAACATAGTGTACAACTGTCCATTTGTATACGTCCCATCAATTGTTACAATTAGTTCTGTCATTTTTGGATGACAGGTTGACTCCTGATATATAGCCGATGGTCCTATTGACCGCTAAGATGCGACCACCGACAGCTTTCATGTTATCTATGGGAGGCACGCGCTGCCTGCTGACGTTGGCACGCGCTGCCTGCTGACGTTGGCACGCGCTGCCTGCTGACGTTGGCACGCGCTGCCTGCCGACGTTGGCACGCGCTGCCTGCCGACGTTGGCACGCGCTGCCTGCTGACGTTGGCACGCGCTGCCTGCCGACGTTGGCACGCGCTGCCTGCTGACGTTGGCACGCGCTGCCTGCCGACGTTGGCACGCGCTGCCTGCTGACGTTGGCACGCGCTGCCTGCCGACGTTGGCACGCGCTGCCTGCCGACGTTGAACCTGTCTGTTGTTCACCCTATACTTCTCCCTCTCTAGCACTCCTGCGTTAGGTTGCTGTCTCTCTCTCTCTCTCTTTTGTCCTCTTGTAGAACTTTATAAGTTTGTCAAGCAGGATTTTCCTTCACAAAATTCGTACCAGTGCTTAAAAACAAAATGCAGTGGGTCTAAGCAACGTTCATGGAATACTTCTCAGTAATTCTGGTCTGTAGTATAGTGGGTCTTGTTTACATCTCCTTTCTTGTATATTGGCGCCATATTAGTCGTTTTCAATAGTCTAGAAGCTCCAGTTTTCAATGAGAAACTGAATACTATAGTTACGGATTTTCGCAGTGCTTCCGCGTTCTCCTTTAGTAAGCAAGGGGATAACTTGTCTAGTCTGATGATTTTCGTCACATCTAGTTCCTCTAGTAATTTCCTTACCTATTCTGGCGTCACTACCATTTCAGTGAGACATTGTGTGTGTGTGTGTGTGTGTGTGTGTGTGTGTGTGTGTGTGTGTGTGTGTGTGTGTGTGTGTGTGTGTGCGCGCGCGAGTGTGTGTGTCCTAGAATATTATAGCGAACAGTTTCGAAAGTATGTGAAGACGTGGCATTCCAATAAGCGAGTGTATGAGTATATTAGCGGGAGCACCACTGACCACACACGTAAGCACAGCACCGCTCCTGTGCTCCTGTAAGCTACGGGCTCACCACAGCCCGTGCTACTTGGAACTTGTTCCGAATAGCTGAATCTATAACAACAACAGCACTGACCTAGGCCTGGAATGAGGTTCAGGAGCAGGCAGAGGGCTGCTAGGGGCACGGGCAGGGTGGGCACGGCCTTCCTCAGCGTGAATATTATATTATATATATAATATATATATATATGTCGTACCTAGTAGCCAGAACGCACTTCTCAGCCTACTATGCAAGGCCCGATTTGCCTAATAAGCCAAGTTTTCATGAATTAATTGTTTTTCGACTACCTAACCTACCTACCTAACCTAACCTAACTTTTTCGGCTACCTAACCAAACCTAACCTATGAAGATAGGTTAGGTTAGGTTAGGTAGGGTTGGTTAGGTTCGGTCATATATCTACGTTAATTTTAACTCCAATAAAAAAAATTGACCTCATACATAATGAAATGGGTAGCTTTATCATTTCAAAGGAAAAAAATTAGAAAAAATATATTAATTCAGGAAAACTTGGCTTATTAGGCAAATCGGGCCTTGAATAGTAGGCCAAAAAGTGAGTTCTGGCTACTAGGTACGACATATATATATATATATATATATATATATATATATATATATATATATATATATATATATATATATATATATATATATATATATGTGTGTGTGTGTATATCACGAAAATAAACACGTGATTAAAAATGTGACAATGTCAGACCACGGAGGAAAAATGAAACAGGAATTTCCTTAAGTACTTTCGTATATTAATACATCTTCAGAAGGAGACTCCTTCTGAAGATGTATTAATATACGAAAGTACTTAAGGAAATTCCTGTTTCATTTTTCCTCCGTGGTCTGACATTGTCATATATATATATATATATATATATGACATATATATATATATATATATATATATATATATATATATATATATATATATATATATATATATATATATATATATATATATATGTCGTACCTAGTAGCCAGAACGCACTTCTCAGCCTACTATGCAAGGCCCGATTTGCCTAATAAGCCAAGTTTTCCTGAATTAATATATTTTCTCTAATTTTTTTCTTATGAAATGATAAAGCTACCCATTTCATTATGTATGAGGTCAATTTTTTTTTATTGGAGTTTAAATTAACGTAGATATATGACCGAACCTAACCAACCCTACCTAACCTAACCTAACCTATCTTTATAGGTTAGGTTAGGTTAGGTAGCCGAAAAAGTTAGGTTAGGTTAGGTTAGGTAGGTTAGGTAGTCGAAAAACAATTAATTCATGAAAACTTGGCTTATTAGGCAAATTGGGCCTTGCATAGTAGGCTGAGAAGTGAGTTCTGGCTACTAGGTACGACATATATATATATATATATATATATATATATATATATATATATATATATATATGACAATGTATATATATATATATATAAAAATGCAGAAAAACCACATTTGAAAAATAGAGAATGCTTATTTCGGCTAATTCGCCTTCCTCAGAGCAAAGTAGAATGTTCATTTGTAATATGGAAGACTTGAAATATGGTAAGAACCTTATTTCTGCAACTGACAATTTCCCCATAACTGGGATGGCCCTTTGTCACATCCATGAGTCCCCAGCCTTCACTAACATGACAGCCAGGTCGGGATTTATCAAGGATTTATGTGTGTACTTACGAAACCTGTCAATCTTTACTCAATTATGGCGGCATAATTTGCATTTATGAAGCTTTGTGAATCTAGCAAACCACTATGACATGGCCTTAAATGCCACAGGAAGACAGACAAAACCCTAATGTAATATACACAAATTTCGCAAGACTTTGACAATGTGACCATGGTAAGAGGCCTGGTCGATAACCGGGCCGAGGGGACGCTAAGCCCCGAAACCATTTCAACGTATGGGGGTTATTGCGCACGAATGAAATTACTGGAAAAATAGGAAGATGGATCCACAATTTCCTAACAGAACCCAGTGTGTAATAGTCAAAGTCAAATCCAGATGATACACTGGGACAAGCTCAGTCCCCCCTGGGTACTGTGCTTACTCCAGTACTCTTTCGTTCTCATATCAGAATCATAGAAATGAACACAAACTATTGTATCGTATCATCTTTTTTGCAGATGACACTAGGATTTGTATGATATTAGACAACATAGTGGACACGGAAACTTCCAATCTGATGCAAATCAGGACTTTCAATTGGCCACATAAAATATTATATTTACTGAAGATAAATTTCCAGCTACAGCGCTATACAAAAAATTAAAATATTAAAACGGAAACCACATATAAAAAACAGTCAAATCACACTTTTGGACGAAAAAGCAACGTAAAGGATCTTGGAGTAATCGTGTCGGAAAGCTTTGCCTTTAAAACACTCAATAAAGTAGCTGTTACAACTGCAAGAAAAATAGCAGGCTAGATAACAATACTTAATAATTTACACTTAGACAAAATTAGATAGACTGGTTCCAAACCTGCACACATAAATATCATCACATGAGCTAAGAGGCATGGCAGGATGTGCAGAATACCCCCTTTGAAAAGCAGAGGTGCAACGGGTACTCTGAGAGAGACATCTATCAACGTAAAAGGCCCCCCAAGACCCACTCTCCTGCTACACATAAGGGGCATAACTGGCCGGCCTCTCACGCTGTTCAAAAGAAAAATCGAAAAAAAACTCTTCAAATGATACCTGATCAACCAGGCTGTGACTCATACGTCAGGCTGCGAGCAGGCGCGTCTAATAGTCAGGGTGAGCAGACCACCCATCAAGAGCCCTTGTCTGAGACCGGGCCGCGGCGACGTTGATCCTCAGAATCACCGCGAGGTAAGGAAGCCTTACCCAATTTCCTGTATAAAGAATTTGGGGGTATGGGAGTGTCATAGGTCAGTTTGAGTTGGCTCCAATGCCACACTTTAAGAAATATCAGCATCTGACACTTCAGAGTAGTTAACAGGTGGAATGTATTTGGCAGTGATGTGGTGGAGGCTGACTCCATACACAGTTTCAAATGTAGATATGCAACCCGTTCTCGCAAATTTAATAAGTCAATATTGACTTATTAAATATGTGCATAGGTGACATACTTAACATAATAGATACCCTTAAAAAGATTCATAGAAAACACCGACCTTACCTAACCTTGTTAGTATCTTAAGATAAACATCTTATAGCTTCGTAATTACAATTATTACCTAACCTATAATAGGTATAGGTTAAGTAATAATTGTAATTACGAAGCAATAAGATGCTTATCTTAAGATACTAACAAGGTTAGGTAAGGTCGGTGTTTTCTATGAATCTTTTTAAGGGTATCTATTATGTTTAGTATATCACCTATGCACGTAGTTAATAAGTCAATATTGACTTTACGAATTTGCGAGAACGGGTTGCGATATGATAGAGCCCAGTAGGCTCAGGAACCTGTACACCAGTTGATTGACAGTTGAGAGGCAGGATCAAAGAGCAGAAGTTCAACCCCCGCAAGAACAACTAGGTGAGCACAACTAGGTGAGGTGAGTACCTGTCCCAAAATATGCCAGTTCCATGGTCAAATCTGAAATATTTGTTGTGTTGTCCGTAGACTTACAAAGCAGTTTCAGTGCTTGATGAAGCACTGAAAATTGAAAATTAAATTAAAAATGAAACGCAAACCTTTTGAAATTAAAAATGCACTCAATAAAGATAAGGCTACCTTTCCTGGAGAGGATGGCATCACATACAACACCATGAGAGTACTTGCTGAGCTGCCAAATAGCCCTTTGCTAGAATTGTTTAATCAAAGTCTAAGGCAGGGTGTCTTACCTGACCGCTGGACACAGAGACTCATAATACCCATACCCAAGCCTAATTCACAAAAAATTCTTGACCCATTTCTCTAACGTCGTGCATGTGTAAAGTTCTTGAAAGGATTATACTCGACAGACTAATGTTTCAAATCAAGCCCCACCTTGCTCCTAACCTGTATGGTTTCCTTCCTGGAAGAAGCACACAAACTTGCTTTGCGGAATATTTTATCAGAGGGGGACCAAGCTTTCAGGCGGCATTTATTGATCTCCAAACTGCTTTTGATACAGCAAACAGAGAAATAATCTTAGAACAACTAGCCTCTTTTGGAGTTAAGGGAAGACTGTTTACATGGCTCAGGTGTTACCTGAGTAACAGAACCGCCTCAGTCCTTTTCAAAAGTGTCAAAAGTAAACTTTGTGCACCCTTTGAGTTGGGTACACCCCAGGGTGGAGTGCTAAGTCCTACACTGTTCAATGTTCTGATGCACAAATTAACAATTGATATTCCCACACTACCTGACGAAGCCGTCATCTGTTATGCCGATGATATATGCATTGTTGCAAATACCCAAACTAGACTGCAAGCTCTACTTGATTCACTCGCTGCTAAAAGCATTGAATGTGGTCTTGTTATCTCTATAACTAATTCCAAAGTTCTCCATCCCCAAGAGGAAACTCATGTCTCTATAACTTTCAAGGTGAACAACCAGAACATTGAAACGTGTAGGCAGCACAAATACCTTGGAGTTGGTATTAACAGTGACATTGTAAACGATCTACACTCTAGGTTAAAAGAAAGACTAAAACCATTGAAAACACTACTGGTAAGAATATTGGTATCAATATTAAATATGTTAGATTATTCTATATGATGTTTGTTAGATCTCTCGTAGATTATAATGCTCTGCACTTAATTAATTTCCCCTCCTCTGTGTTGGACAAACTTGAAGTAGTACAGAATGAAGCCATGAGGATAATTCTTGTTGCCCCAAGATGTACAAGAATCATTAAAATGAGTGAAGAACTGAAGCTTCCAACCATACTAGAATCATGCTAGTCAACACGACCTTTTGCCTTAAAGTCATGAGAGACCCTACATCTCCTGCATTGCTCAGAGACAAATTATTTAGTGCTGTTAACACCCTATTGACTGGTGCCGACATACCAACTCACTCCTTTTATAATAAATGGCTGAGCAACAATGCCTACAATCTCATTAAACTCAACATTCTTTTTAAGTGCAATCTACCTGTCTCTGATATTCCTCTTTATCTGTACCCCACCATTCAAGTATCATACACACCTGTCACCAAGAAAGATAATGAGAATCTTGCTCTACTCAAAGCTGTCACTCT